GGAATCCCATGGGACCTGCTTGTTACCAAAAGTAAAGATGTTCCGCATTGAACTGTTACCGAAAAAAAAAGCCTGAAGAGTTTACGAAATGCCTCACCTTGTGCTGAATCAGAGCAGTAAAAATTCCTCCTGGGAGCAAACCATTCCACTCCCCCACTAGTCAGCGAATGCTTTAAAAACACTGAGAACTATCATGCACAGAGAAGCCTCGGGAAATATTAGCTTGCATTACATGGTCTAGTAATCTGCTCCAAGCCAGTAATTTTCCCACCTCGGCTCATCTTCATAGGTTGGTTGTGATAATACCTTGGCCATAAACTTATGACTGGCAAAATATACAGGATCACTATTAGAGATCAGTACTTACTCAGATGGAACCAGTATATAATTCAGTATATTTTAACATAATGTTTTTGTCCAGAAGTGTACTTCATTGTCCTGTTTATTCTCTGGCTACATAAACTTAGGAACCTCACTTAATTCACAGACTCAATTTTCCAAATGTAAAATACAAGCATTATGGTTGATTATGTCAAAATCCCACCCAACTTTAGCATTTTATGGATCTCTGAATCTAATGCTGTAGCCTGCAGAGTTTAGTTTCAACAGAGGTTGTTGAAATAAATTTGTGAGCAAGCTTTTTAAAAGTCACTTTCTCGGTGAATGAGCAATTCAACTTAGAGAAATTTATCATAAGAAAATAATTTGTGCATACCACTGTGATTTATGAATGAAGATATTTAGCTACATGGATATAATTAAATGGTATCACAACATTTATTATAATAACAAAAAATTAGACACAGTCCACTGACAACAAATAAAAACTAATTAAATTGATTTTAGTACATCCATATGTACAATATCATAGAACCATTTAAAAAGGTTATTAAACAACAGTTAATACCATGGAGAAACAGTCACTGTTAGGTGAAAAAAGCAGGTAACCAGTCTATATCTGTATATACACATGTATATATATGCATAAATATACAAATATATATGTGTGTGTTTATAAAAATCTACAACACTATATATAAATATGCAGTACTTGTTTATCTACATACATATAATGCTAATACTATTTGATTCAAATAACGCAAATAATCTCATTGGTGGTGGGATTATCTGTGATTTTTACTATCATATTTAGCTTTATTGTATTTTATAAATTTTATACAATAAACTGGCATTATTTTTGGAATTCAAGAGAAAAAAAGAAATAATATGTCTCTCTTTTTTTTTGGTGGTGGTAGTGATGGTAATGACCACATTTTTCTCTTTTATTTCTGAAATAATTTGCAAGTATCTCCTCTGCCCATCTCAGGTTCTCCTCACCTTCATGATAGGTACTTTCTGGACCCATCTTGTCAATTAGCATGTCCAGGAGAATAGCACAGAAACAGTCTCACCTGCCTTTTCTCCTCCAAAAGGGGCCCATTTTAGGTTTCCACATCTACACCCACACTGCCCACACTTTGCAGCTCCCGGGCCCTGTCTTATATTCATCCCTCCACAGGGAATGCCTTTTTCCATCTCTTGAAATCTAGATCATCACTGAAGACCTGAATCAAATGCCTCCTCCTATGTAATGTCTCAACATTTCTAGGGAAGAATGCCTCTCTCTCCCTCTCTCTCTTCCAAAGTACCATAGCAATTAATTTTTCCTGTGACATTTACCTCTTTGTCCTTTATGGATATTGGGAGCTCCCGTAAAAGGGTAGTTAAGAGTGGGACGAACTGAAGAATGAATATCCCAACTGCAGAGGTCGGTGGTTTCTCTTTCAACCAATTCTCCTTAGTGGGAATATGAGTCTAAAGTTACCAGGCCTTCCAATATGTCATGAAAAGCAAGAAAGTCAGGTTTTCATATAAAATCCCCCAGTGTTTAAATATTAGCTCATGAAAACCAAAAATAAGCAACAATAACTCTGGGAAGACCAAACAAAAAAATACCTTCTAGCTTGACTCTGGCCTGCAAGCCCAAGTTTGTAACCTCTCAGCAGCCTGACACCTACATCCCCACGTTCTTTTATCACCCAGCACAGAGGCTTGCTCATAATGGTTGCACCCATTAGGCAATCAACTGTGTAAGCCTTCCACTTGGTGGGTTACTGATAATAAGATCCACATCAAAGATCCATCATCCAACATTAATGTTTTAAAACTTGTTTTGATTCTGAGCTCTTCTCCAAAAAACCTTCCAAAGGTAACACAGAAGAAAATTCTCTGTGCCCTAAAACAGCAACTTGCCTTTTTTCCTGTACTTTGTACTAACCCAAGAGCCCTGTCAGCACTCAGTAAATAATACATTAGAGTCATTTAATTACAGCTTTTATGCATCCAGGTCATGTAATATTGACTTCATATTTGCAGTCAAATTTTCTACCACTTAAGAAGAAAGCAACAAGGGATAAAAGGCAGGCAAAAGCCAAGCAATGTCCTAACAAAGAAATGGCAATTTTTATGTCTGCCTCAGAAGAGCTGAATCAGGAAAAAAAAAAATAGAAATGAAACCAAGCCAGCTGAATACCTCATAGCAAGGAATGGGAAAGCAGCACTATGGCGTCCTGGATCTATCATAGCATTACCTCACTGTCATTCACCAAACAGCATTACCTAACTGCTTCTGGCTCGTCCAAGGAGGCACTTTCAGCGAGGCTGAAAGAGATGACCTCATAAAAGACACCGTCTCAAAGTCAGATAGCCAGGCAGAGGATCTAGCCTGGAGTCTTGAAAAGTGTCCTGAATATAGGACTTTTCCAGAGACTAAAGGGCATGAGACAGATTAGAGATTAGCTGTAAAGGATATTCCTTCTAGGGCCAGCCTGTGGCTCACTCAGGAGAGTGTGGTGCTGATCAAACTAAGGCCATGGGTTCAGATCCCTATATACAGGGATGGCCGGTTCACTCACTTGGGAGGGCGTGGTGCTGACAACACCAAGTCAAGGGTTAAGATCCCCTTACCGGTCATCTTAAAAAAAAAAAAAAAAAAGGATATTCCTTCTGGTGTGGAGAGAAATATTACTGGCTCAAGAACACTAAGCCAGAACTGATTTCATGGACATACCCCTGCAAGAAGGCAGAGTTCTGTCAATAGACTGTGCTGCCTCGATGGTGCTAGAATGGGCAGGCTCAACTTTCAATAAGCCAGCAACATGTAACCTCTTCCATGAGACTAGCATAGTTCAAATAACAGAGGCCAGGGACTCTGTTTTCATCGAGTTTTCATTCTAACAGAAGGAGACAGACAATAAGCATTTTTTTTTTTTGCCTTAAAACAACATAAATTTATTCTCTCACAGTTTTAGAGGCTATAAGTCTGAAATCAAGGTGTCAGGTAGGACCATGCTCTCTCTGAATCCTGTTGGGGAATCCTTCCTTGTCTCATTCTATCATTGGGCAATTTTCTGGAAATTTTTGATGCTCCTTGGCTTGCAGCTGTATAACTCCAAATTCCGCCTTTGTCACCACACAGACCCTGTGTGTGTGTCTTCACATGGCCGTATTCTTCTAAGGATACCAGTCATTGGATTACAGGCCCACCATATTCCAGTGTGCCCTCATCAGTTACATCCACAATTGCCTTCTTACTAAATAAGGTCACATTCTGAGCTACTGGGGGTTGGGACTTTGATGTATCTTTTTGGAGGGGGACAACAATTAAACCCATAGCAACCTGCATCTGCAGCAGAAATTAGCAAGTGTCCTAAGAATGAGCCAGGTAAGGTTCTATGGGTAAGAGACAAGAGCAGTCAATCCCTTGGACTTTAGCACATTTTAAAAGGAAATGTCAAATTGTTGCACATTTTATGAATTAAATATAACAGCATGTTGAAATAGAGATGGCCTGGTGGGCTACATTAGATTGGATGGTCAGAGCAGAGGTCTAAAGAGGTGACACATTAACTGAGTTCTTAATGACAAGAAGGAATCAGCCATGCCAAGGTCTAGAGTAGCAGCACCCCTTGAGGGAGAAACAGCTAGTGCAAGTGCAAGGACCATGTTGTGCTGGAGCAGAAAAAAGAAGCCCATGTTTGTGGACTTTATGAAGCAAGAGCAAAAGTGGTAGCAGATGAGCTCAGATAGAAAGAAAAGCAGCAGCTCATATAGGGTATCGAAGGCTCTAGAAAGGGATATGGAAATGATTCTAAGTTCTTAGGAAGCCACTGAAGGATTTTAAGCAAATGAGTACAGTACTATCAACCCCCCAGGCTGTATTTCCTGGGATGACTGGAGCCAGTTTCATTTGCAAAAGAGGGACAGTGGACACTTGGTGATGTATTAGACCACAGAGTCACGTGTGCTGTGCTACTGCCCACAAACTTTGTGGGGAGTCTTAGGGTTGAGCACAGAGGGGAAGCTGGCAATAAAGTCAGGACCAATGGGGTTCTATGAAACCTGTGCCATTGTTTCAGGAAAAGCCACCCCTGCCAGAATTCAGCTACACCACTTGCCAGAGCCCTGTCCACAAACTGGGGGTTCCTTGAAACTTCCAGAGCTCCCTGCTTGTGTCTCTGTAAGCTCTTATTAGACTGTGAGCTTTGTGAAGCAAGTACATATTTACGCAACCTTTTATCTCCCAGTCTACTGTGCAGTGACTCTCACATGATAATTATCTGGGAGTTTAGTAGAATTCAAAGGAATTAATAGGATATGCAGTTCATACTAGCCATCTTGCAATGCATCTAAAAATGCCAGCAAGCTTCATGGGGAGGCTGACTGTGGGGCCAAGATTTACTGAGTTCAACATTTTAACTGACCGGTTGAGGACCATTGCTTTAGCCAACCTCTGCTAATTTTACTAGAATGTTGTAAACCATGAGACTCAAGTCTGACCTCCTCTGAATTATAACTGTACTCACTGGTCTTCACTTATTGACTTCTAAAAAGGTGATCCCACCCCCTGAACCCGAAGGTGACATCCTCTTGCATAGTGTGTATAAAAGATGAATCACAAAGGAAAAATCTGATCAGAGAAAAATCAATATCATACTTACATATCCATACTCTAAATCCCAGCACCAGCAGTAATTGCAAAACCTCACAAAACATGCCCTGAGAAAGTCCCCGATGAGGATTGTGACATAGGTGGTCAGAACATCAGAAACAGTCAGCCGCACGAATTCCTGTTGAGATATTATCTGTATTAAAACCCACATTTCTGTTTTCAAATGGTCCTAGTGTTGACATTAAATTTGCCATTTTTCTAAAAAATTGTTGACTTGAAGAATGCAATTAATGGTAAAAGCAAAAAATAATTTGGCATATATAGTAAATAAAAAATGTTTCACCCCTGTTTTATTAGTCTAATAATAATAATTTCCCATCCAGCATATCACAAGTCTTCTTACTGAGAAATTTTATAAGCATAACACAAGAACCAAAAGCAGATGGAAAAATACTGACCACACAGAAATTTGAAAGCTTTATGTGGCAAATAGCACTATTTACAAAGTTAAAAGACAAACTTGGGATAAGTACTTGCAACATATACGATAAAGGTTTAGACACATTAAAAACATAATCCTAACACATTAAAAACTTGTATAAATCAGTGTAAAAATAAATAGGCAATTCAATAAAGAAAAAGCAGGCAAAAAGTAAAAAATTCATAAAAGAACATATACAAACAATCAATTAAAACATTGAAAAATAGTCAAACCCCACATAATAAAAATACACATTAAAACAATGAATTGTTGTCTCAAAGAGGAATAAATATGTTAAAATCTGTGCTTCTCCATACTGGTGAGAGTGTGATAAAACAGGCACTGGCATAAACTGATGAAATAGTTAAACTGGCACAATGTTGGGGGGAAATCTGTCAAAATTCATCACATTTTAAAATGCTTGAAACTTGATCAAGGAAATCCACTTTTAGAAAGTATCAATATTCGCTCAAGTGCACAAATCTATATTTACGTCGATGAAAGTATTGCTTCTTCTGGATAAAAATCAGAATAAATTCAAATACACTCAGGAAAATGTTAATTAAATTCTACAAAATGGGTAGACACAACAGAATATTGTGAGCCCTTAAAACAAAATGCTATTGTGGTGATGGATGGTGAAGGACATGCAAGTCTGTGAATATACTAGAACCCATGGAATTGTACACTTTAAATGGGTGAACTGCAGGGTGTTGTGTAAGTTATATCTCAATAAAATTGTTTAAAACATGTTCAAATACTATGTCCTTATAGAAAATAAGTTTTTAAAAAGTTTACAAAATTGCATATGTGGTATGAACTCATTTGTTAAGAAAATATTCTCTGTATATATACAGTACATATTTGTATATATGTATGTGCATATTATGTGTATGTATATGCAAAGAAAAAGTCTGGAAAATGAGAAACTGGTTACCTGACTGATACGGGCTTGAATTAATGTGTAAAGTGTGTGTGCTGGGGAACAGAGGAGAAAGTTCACTATTTCCTCTTCAAACTGCTAGGCTAATAAGCAATAAATATAAGACTAGCCACATATAATTATAAATTTTTATCATGATATTTCACTTCTGCTTTTCCCTTTCTGTCTCTTCTCAATAATTTGTGCCCTAAAGCTAAAGACACTGAATGTCTAATAAGACATATTTTGTCAGAAATACTAGAGCTTTTCCATAATATGAAAGCCTTTTGGTTTTTATTTCTAGCCACCTCTATAGTCTCCTCTCAAATAACTAGTGAGGACTAATTGTCCCAGAGGGCAAAGGACATTGGACTAGCAGTCGTCCTTTGGTAAGTTCCAGGCTCATGCTTCAGGGCAGCGCTTCCTAAGCTCCGGGCAGTCGTGCACCACCTTTGTCCCCGCCACGTCCAAGTACCATCTGAAATATCGTTTATCTGATCTTTTAAAACTTTTATGCAGTGTATTTTAAAAAATAATAATTGTTGAGGCCAGCCCCGTGGCTCACTCTGGAGAGTGCGGCGCTGGGAGAGCCAAGGCCGCGGGTTTGGATCCTATATAGGGATGGCCAGTGTGCTCACTGGCTGAGCCGGTGCAGACCACACCGTGCCGAGGGTTGCGATCCCCTTACCGGTCCAAAAAATAATAATAATAATTATAATAGTAATAGTAATAATAATAATAATAATGATAATAATTGTTACTATTATAAATGGAATAGGTCATCTGCCATAAATAGAAGTTAGTGGTAAAATGAATACCCATACAATAAAAACAAAACCAAAAATTATGAATTGAAACTTAAACGTAGCATGTGTGGCAAGGGCTTGTGAGCAGTCGTATAATCCGGGAAGCGACCTCAAAGAGCAGGCGTGGGGAGGCGGAAGAGAGAAGCAGCAGACGAGGGAAAGCCTTCCCCAAACTAAGTTAAAAGCCGTCCCTGCTGGGGCAAGTGAGTCTTGATCCTGCTGGGGACCCACTTCAGAGGACGTATTAGAGTAAGCCTCAGAGTCGTCCACTTAAGAGACAGAAGGGTGCGTACCTCCCCGCCGGCTGCCCTGTCCCGTCAGTCAAGGATGCCGCACAGGTAGGTGCTGAGTCTTTTCCCTACGGTGACAGCAGAGCCCCGCCGGGGGACGGGGAGAACACTCGCACAGCGCCATCTAGAGGCCGTCAGGTGGCGGTGCGTGCAGGTGTTTGCTGCACGGGGTTCCGCACCTCAGCTCTTGACGAAGTTTATGGCATCTAACATGAACCATCACATCACTAACTTAGGGACTCTTCCCTCATCTCCCTGACAAGGGTAAGCTCCCTATGAAAAGTCCTCAGGGTGCGTGCATTTCAACCTTGCGGTGCTTTGTTGCCATTGTAAATTTACAATGACTTCTCGGTATCTAGCACAATGCCTGGCATTTAGCACTCAATAAGTATGAATGAATGAATGAGTGATAGGATTCCTGGGGTTATTTCCGGACACAACTTTAACACTTCCCTACTCTTATTTTCCTTTCCTTTGCCCAGTCAGTGTTGACTTCAGATGCTAGTAACTAGTACCAGTTAGAGGTAGGCTATGAGGGATATTTAGGTTTCCAATGCCAGGTCTGGAAGACTTGCTCAGGTAAGAGAAAATTTCAGAGTGGTTTGGAAATCCTCCACATCTTCCCATTGTGAAAGTTAGGTCATCCCAGTGGTTGAAATTCTATGCTTCTCCAACCAGTGACCTAACTTTCACATACAATACTTGAAGAGAATTCAAAAATTATATTAAAATTTTAAAATGTTCATGTATCATAGGAAGAATCATTTTCAAGGAAAGGGAATCCCCCAAATAGTGGCCCAGCTCCTCCAGCTCATCTTAGGGATGTCATCCAATCTTCTCATCCACGTTCATCATCAGGATTCCACCTGCCTCATCCACATTCCATTCAGAACCGTAACCCCTTCCCCAGGTCAGCTCCTGCATAATTTCCCACAAATGTGTAATGCCCATTTGGAAAAAGATGAAAGAGAAGGGGGAAATCCAACTACAAAGGGCAGTAAGGAAAAATGATGAAGGAAGAAAAACCACTACAAATAAAATTTAACTTAAAAAAAAAAAAAGACAAGACAAGCAGCATGGTCCAGGGGCTTTCAAGAGGCAGAACTAAATAAATGGCTACTCCTTTATTTTATGTCAGTATGCATGGGAATTTCACAGAAGCTTCCGCATGAGAAACATAAATATTCTCCTAGATTGCACTGGCATTCATATCTAATTGATCCATTCCCCCTCCCAAGAAGTACCCAGCCCGGATCTTATTCTTTACAGCTAACTCTATTAATCCTGTTCAATAAGTGTCTGCTAATGGGTAGGTTTCTTAGTCCTCCTGCCAGCCTGCATTCTAGGATGTACAGAAGAGAACATCTCAAATTCTTGGAGTTTGTGAAAACTGTATTATCTATCATTTCATTTCTTTAATCTTGGGCTGAAGATTTAAGAAGCAGCTTAAATGTGATAAAACTTGACTCTGTTTAACGCCATGACCATACTTCACTTCACAGAGCCTTGAGACATAGAAATCCATGTACCACGTGTATTCATTTCCTATGTGGTTGCTGTAACAAATAACCACAAATCTAGTGGTTAAAATAATGCAAATTTATTTTCTCACAGTTCTGGAAGTCAGAAATCTAAAATCAAAGTGCAGACATGGGAGGAAAATCTGCTTCCTTGCCTTTTCCAGCTTCTGGAGGCTACCTGAATTCCTTGGCTCATGGCTCCTTTCTCCATCTTTAAAGCACATCCTCTAGTTCTGTTGTCATATCTCAGTTTTAGGATTTTGACCATTTTGTCTCCCACTTATAACGACCTTTAAGATTTCATTAGGAATACTCCCATAATTTAGGATAATTTTTCCAGCCCAAGATTCTTAACTTAATCACATCTGCAAAGTCCATTTTTCCATATAATGTGACATAGTCATAGGTTCCAGGGATTAGGTTGTAGTTAACTTTGGAGGGTTGTTATTCTCTCTACCATACCCTGAATCACAGGCACCTCTCTGCTAAGTGCAGATAACTTTTATTTCATTTTATTATATTTATTATTTCATACATAATCTGTTTCTGTAAACATGTATGAAATGTGATCTGAAAATCAAACATTAATAACATACAACTAACTAGGAAAGATGGGGTTTATCTGGTTCCTGAAAGCTTAAAAAATAAAGTAAAACAAACATACTTAACTATACCATACTTTCATCCCCAGACCTGCTGAGTGCGTGCCAATCAGAGAGGTGCCCAGCTGGAGAAGCCCAAGATCTGTGGAGACTACACGCCCTGCAGTGCCAGCGTGCAACCCAGCAGGTAGGCCTTGCCACTGCCCCCTGACTCCATGCCCAGCCTGGCTGAGTGCATGCTGACCAGAGAGGCACCTCCCCAGAGAGGCCCGAGACCCGAGGTGACCATGCACCTGAGGCACTAGTGGGCACTGAGCAGACACTGAGACAGCCATACCGAATTGGCAGCCCCAGCAGCATCCTAGCCAGACAATAGTGTCAAACCAGTGGACCGTGAAATCCCCTGTCACAATGACTAAACATCAGAGGAAAGATACCAGAAATATTAAAAATCAAGAAAGTACACCACCAAAGGGTAATAACTCACAAGCTCTAGATCCTATAGTACAAGAAGCCCTTGAAATATCTGACAAGGAATTTCGAGTTATAATTCTAAG